GGCATCCTCTCAGCTCCGAGCATTTGGCTTCGCTTCCACTTACGACCGAGTGTGTCCTCGAGTCGTCTCTGCGCCACATTTAAGTACGGGCTCGAGTGTGTCACCACCACCTGTTTCAAGTATCACGTACCACTGTCTGTCGACGCCAGATTGTAAAGGACAATGAAAACGAGCCCGAAATAACAATTTGTTATTTACGTGCTTTTTAGTTGCGTGTATTGTTTTATTTTACGCGCGCCAAAACGAGCTAGCCCATCGGGCGTGTTTTATTTGTGCAGATACAGTTAAGTGCAAGGGTAAGACACTTTCATGGGTTGAAGACATTTTAACAATATAGAAGTCGGCTCTTAGCAGAACATGTTTCCTAACGTTGATTCTTAATTAGAGCAATTCTCTCCGCCCACTCTCTCCATCCGTAATAGCCAGAGGTCCTGATTTCTGCGAACGCTGCTCTGCCGTTCGCCGAGAACCCCACCTGTTCATTATTCATCAGTGGATCCTCGATCACACTCTCGCATCTCGGTTATTCCGGCGTCTTTAGTCCCTCCATTAGCCGGCGTGGAGTGAACACTCCCCGGGGCCCATTGTGCGCTCGGCTGCTGTCACCACCAGCTTAGGCCGAATGAGCTCATCACACATGCCGGATGAAGCACAGGGCTGGGTGGAATTGGGGCCCACCGCCAGCTGCGGCTGCACCGCACCAACATGAATAGAATCACCGAACGCATTGTGATAGGCTACGAACCTATAATTATAGCGTTCTGTATCATAATTCAACCGTATGTTTCCTAGCATCTACCATTGAAATTAAATCAATTTAATAAATGCTGAAGAAATAGATAAAAGGTTCGCGTTGTCATCTCTCATATTTCAACCCCTTGTTGGATTTCAAGGGATATGTTTTGTGGTTTCACTTAGGAGGTTCGATAGGTTCCGATCTGTGACGGCAATTTTTCCCATATGGTCAGGTCCCTTTCAGTTATGTGCGAGAACCTGTGGCTAGCATCGACTCATCTATATGCTAACGAAGATGCGATGTTTGTTGCAGCATTTTCGGCGGCTGCAACTTTGGAGGGCTGCCTTCGGTATCATCGGAACTCAGCCTACCAAGGTGAGCGACCGCGACAGACTCGACTTTTGATCTTCGACGAACACATCTGAAGGTAGAGCTATCTCTTGAGACACTCATCTGCATGCTATTATCATTCACATACAGATAAGTCCCAGGGAAGACAACAGCCTTAAATGATTGTTTCCTATATTTTCGTGAGGCTGTTGGTATGATACCCTGGTATGGAGTTTCAGCGGCCTTGGGCTCAGCAAAGATTTTATGTTAGTATGTTTAATTTTTTAATAAATTTAGATAGAAGAGCTCGCACCAAGGGCTCCTGTTACGTACAGCTGAAGAAGCGCTGCAACGAAACGATCCTAGTCCCTAAACAAAATGTGCGGGTGAGGCACATTTTTGCTTCTTGATACCCTTATAGGTCATGTAAGGTTTCCTCGAATTCATGGTCATGCAATATCATTTATGGCAGAAAATATGTAGAAGTTATTCCATTATAATTCATTCTTCTTAAACTATCCTGAATCGTGGGATGCTTAGAACAAAATCAACGCCATATACGAGAGCAGCCTCTACCACTACAAATTGTTACGTCCGTTACGTGTCAGGGTCCCCATAAGTCATTAAATGTGATAATGGGCCAAAAGCGTTTTTAAACAAAGACGCGTCTTGACAGGTGCTAGAAATATCATTTTGTTTTGTATGCGACCATTTCATGCAAGTTATTCCCCAAACCAAATAGCAGATCTTCAGTTATTGACTTGACCTGTAAGGCCAACGGCTGACCAGGTCAATGGCTGACCTAAATCCTTAAATTTGTGTAACGTTAGCTTCAATCTTCATCTCGTGGAAAGCAGCACGCTCGTTTTTTTTTACAGCAAAGCTGTGGCCCAATTAGGGGCCAAAGATGAGGAGGAAGTTGCACCTTCACCCCTTATATCGTGCCGTCGATCGCAGAATATCTAATGGGTTAGACAGGTGAAGGGGGCGGGGGGGGGGAATAGACGCCCGCACCGTGTTCAGCTTCGGCCAGGGCGCAGTCAGTTAGGGGCTAGGGGACATTCGAGTGGTGAATAAATATTTGGACCAGCTTAACTTCACATATGCATGCCTGCAGTAATGTGATGATTTCAAGGCCATTGTAAACGGTATGGAGTAGGCTGTGTGTATGTACCTAATTAGCTAAAGTACATAGTTGCAAGACTGCAGAACTACTTTACACGGCGGCCTACTAGTACCCAAAGACGGTGGCAGAGACTGGTGCATTTTCTTATGGCATTAAATGTTTCTTAACACGATCAATACGGCAGATTCAGGAGTAGGACCTATTGCTCATATTACCTAATGTCCACACGGTTTTTGTTTTGGCGATCAAAACAGAACGCTTAGATATGTCACGTTACTAGCACAACCAAGCTGAAATGCTGCATACGAGGCTGATCTACAATCATCTAAAAACCTCGATCTAAAAAAAAAAAAAACACACACACACACACACACACATTGTACGTTTACGCTGTATATTTTGCGCCGTATATCGTACGCCATACCGGTCTTTCAAAAACGACGGAGCGATTGCGAGGAAAATTTGATGCGGGAGTGCAGATCTCCTGTTAGTAGATATGTAAATGACCCGTAGGTCAAAACAATTCTATAGGCTATCCCATCCGGACCAATCCCACTTTCCAATCAATCGGGACAGCTGCTGCCGCCGGCTGGCCTGCAGCTGCCATTTTCAGCCGGCTGCCTCAGTGACACTGCCGACAAACAACTCAGAAAGAGCCAGCTCGGACAAAGCGGCTCTGGTCGGCCCTACCTTGCCGCTCATCTCCCTAAATGTCTCCCCATCTCCGGTCGTCCTGCCGCGCCTTCGTCTTTTGACAGTCCTGAATTGCCTGTTTTCGCCCCGCTCAAATCTGGTGGAAAATAATCAGACAGCGCGAGTGAATTTTCACGTGACGGAAAAAGTCGCTGTCATCTATGTGCGACGTATAAGGGGAGTCTTCGCAAAAATGGTAACAGAATGGGCGGTTGTGTGCCTAGGAAGATGCGTAATCAATTAAAACAGCACTTTGATTTCGCCAAGAGAGAGTTCACTAAAAATAACTACCTTTTGATTAGCAATATCTATTTCTGAATGCTTTTGATTTTGTTTTTGTTTTTTTTTTTAACGGACGGGAAAATAATTATAAAGCGAACTTATTCGTCATAAGTGAAAGAGTGAAACGCTGAATGATCTCTGGGAACTTTAAGAGATTTCGTTGTTTGTGGCTCCAAGTAATAGGAAAACTAACAAGTGAAAAACACTGGAAAACTTCCGTGGCACGCGCTTCTTGAACAAACTTTTGGACGGCTCCAAAAAGCGGATGCCTCTAACGGGGTGATGCTGCTGGGAAGTGCTAGAGATGATCAGTGGTGTGGCGGCGGTTCTCGGGTTCCTCTGGTTTGGACTGTGCACGCTCCGCCCACACTCAAGGAGTTTGTTCAGGGCTGATGAAGCACAGGTAGATAGGAAGGTGAGGGTGGCAATTCTTACCTCCGGTGGGAGGCAGTGCTAATGCAAGGCTAACGACCGATGGGTCGCCCGGCATTGAGTGGGAAGGAACAGGGTGGCAGTTCCTACCTCCGAGGGAGGCGGTGCTACTGCAAGGGTAACGACCGATGGGTCGCCTGGAGACGAGCGGGAAGGAATAGGGTGGCAGTTCCTACCTCCGAGGGAGGCGGTGCTACTGCAAGGCTAACGACCGATGGGTCGCCTGGAAAAAAAAAGAAGTTAAAGTGACAGAGGCGGAGAGGCAGGAATAGGAGGCTTCACCAGCACCAACGACTTCAGCTGCACGCCGCCGACGGACATCCCTTTCCAGACAGCATCCGGTTCGTGCTAAGTCCCTGTATTCACTCACACCTTAGCACTGAACACAGCGGAGCCGTCCGTCCTCGGCGACTGTACAACCGCAAGTGCCCCCGGCCGGCCGCCGCGCCTGACGGCCGGCCGGGGCGCTGACAAGACCGACCGCCGCCGGCAATCCGCCGGCGGTCCCGCGACAACACATTCCTAAGCAAACGGATACCCGATCCCACGCTCACGCGAGTTCGGTCGCCGGGACGCCGAATTCCTCACGCGCAGTTACAAAAGGCACCGTTTCCAGGAGCTGACCCTCCGACCAAAATAGCCCCTGTGCCGGAAGACATACAAGGCACAGATGGCCGGCGCCCATTCGCCAACGACGCACACCGCAAATTCAATTACACAGACAAAAGAGTCAGCTACGCTCAGGTGACGGCGACCTCCCGCGAGAGCGTCGCGGCGCGCGGCAGCCCGCCCCGCCCGTCCATCCATCACAACTGACACCTCATCGAGCCTGGAATGTGCCCCTTCCGCCAGGGTTGCGGCAGGGAAGGGGCGTTTAGCGTGACCCTAATGACGGTGACCCCCGCGAGAGCGTCGCCGCACACGGCAGCCCGCCCCGCCCGTCCATCCGTCAGAACTGACACCTGCGGGCGAGACTCCACTCACCGCGGCAGGGAAAGAGACGATTCGCGGTAACATCACTCCCCCCCGTGCGGCAATCGCACCAACCCGCTGCGAATCGTATGGCCGAGTGACACATCAATCAACCTTCACGCTCAGGACGACTATTTACAGATAAGACACGAATGACCGTTATTCACAAAATTGTCCCTCTCACACTCCCCTCGGCGACGCAGCCGGGACCGCCGGCACCACTCACAAATTGACGCGATTCGACTCGGCACGGGATCGGCCGGTTATCCCGGTGATAGCCACGCTAATCCCTGACAGCAAAGGGGCCGCCGCCCGATCACAGAGTGTCCTACAGGGGACGCGTTGCCCCGTTCGCACTTATAGGGTCCACCACTGGGCGACACGATCAGTCACTCCCCAAGCACCATCACGGTCGCTTATAGTCTTGCCATGGCTGAATCGTCCACCGGTGATCTGTCGGCGCCTTCCTTCTCCACCGGATCGCTGTCTGGCGCCGGGGGAGAGCTGCTGTGGGTGCCAGAGCTGGTGCTGGGGCTCGACCCGGTCCGGGTGAGCTCGGCGGGTGACATCAAGAGGGCCCGCCGAACGACTCAGCGTAAGCTTCACCCGGACAAGAACCACGGCAACGTCGAAGCCGCAACGACGTACAGCACCGCCGTCAACAGCGCGGCGGACCTGCTGCTAGAGCACCCGGAGGCGTACCGGCGCTGGGCAGCCACTCCGACAGGCGCTGCGCAGCTGGCCCGAGCTGCCGTGTGGCACCCGGGACGCCCGTTTCTGGCTTCTGCTGAGACGGCGCAGGAGGCAGCCATCCACCACCTGGGTCAGGTGATCCGTGGCGTGGCTGCCCTGACGCAGGAGCTGCGGGCCGCCACAGCCGCGCAGCGGCGGCAGGTCCGCGCGCTATCCGCGGCCACGGCGCGCGCTGACCAGCTCGCCGTCGCTCTGCAGCGCGCAGAGCAGGAGCGCGACCGGGCCCAGCGCGATCTCGGCCAAGCTGCAGAGGAGTTGGCAGCGGTGGTGGAGGCGAGCGCCGTCGAGCACGCCTCCGCTGAGCGACGGCTTCGCGCCGCTCAAGCTGAGCTGGAAGAGGAGATCAGCGCCCGGCACGCGGCAGTGGCGGCCTGCGACGCAGCCGAGCAGCGGGCGGCCGCCGCTGAACATCAGCTGGAAGCGGCGGCTGAGCAGCTGACGGTGGCGGAGGAGCGGTCGGCCGTTGCTGAAAGCCATCGGGAAGTGGCGGCTGCGCAGCTAGCGAAGGCGGAGGAGCGGACGGCCACCGCTGCACAGCGAACGACAGCCGCCGAGGAGATGCTTGCAGTCAGTGAACGGCAGCGGGCAGCAGCAGTTCACCAGGCGGCCTCCTCAGCTGCGCGGGCCTCTGCCGCTGAGCAGCGACTGGAGGCAGTGGTTCGGCAGCTGGCAGCGGCCGAGGAACGGGCGGCTGCTGCCGAGCGAGCCTCGACCGCCGAGCAGCAGCTCGAAGCGATGGCTCGGCAGCAAGCGGCAACAGAGGAGAGGGCGGTCGCAGCTGAAGAACGGGCGGCGGCGTTCGAGCAGCGGGCCGTTGACGCTGAGCGGCTGCTGACGACAAACTCGCCTTTACCAACGATCCGACTGCGTCGCTGTTTGGCTGCTCTCTCCAGTGGCCGTGTGAACGCCCGTGTGCGGGCGGATGCGGAGGTTGTTTTACGCCGCCTCGCTTGACGTGCTTGACGCCTCAATAAATGTCACTTGTCTGTTCGTTGTTTTGTTGCCATCTACACGCGTCTGACGTCAGTTAGCATTAAACGTTGGTCAGCAGCGGTGCAGGGTCGGGAGAGCGTTGGTCAGCAGCGGTGCAGGGTCGGGAGAGCGTTGGTCAGCAGCGGTGCAGGGTCGGGAGAGCGGTATCGATTTGACGGCTGGAACCTTGAAGATAGCTAGCAGTTTTCTTGAATAGCGGGCCGCGCCCAGAGCGCGATGAGCGTCACTCTCCGAGCGGTGGACGGCCCTTGCGGACCGGGGCAGACTGCAGAGACCACCAGCGACCGCGCCGACCACTCCGACTCCTTAGATGTCACCTTCCAGCAGGGCCAGCTTCGTGGCCGGTCTTGTGTAGGTTTTCCCTCCTGCAGTCCGGACTTCCGCAGCTCTTACCGCTGCGTCAGCTCCCGGAAACACCTTCACCACTCGGGCCAGCGGCCAGGACGATCTGGTCAGTCCCGTTTCCGCCATCAGCACCAGGTCTCCGTTCTTCAGACTGCGGGTCTCTTGGCTCCATTTACGGCGCTGTGTCAGGGTAGGCAGGTACTCCTTCGCCCAGCGGCGCCAGACCCCTTCCGCGAGGCTCTGGGCTTGCTTCCAGCGCCTGCGGCTGCACATGTCTCTTTCGTCCACGCAGCAGGGGGCCCAGCGTGGCGATGCGCGTCCCAGCAGGAAGTGGTTAGGTGTGATTGCCTCCATGTCTGCTGGGTCCGCGCTCACGTGAGTGAGCGGCCGGCTGTTGACGATGTACTCCACTTCCGCGAAGACCGTGCTCAGGACTTCATCGGTGAGAGTCTGGCTGCCCAGCACCACTGTCAGGCACCGCTTCACGCTCCGCACGAGGCGTTCCCAGACACCGCCCATGTGCGGGGCAGCCGGCGGGTTGAAGTGCCATTCGATGCCATGTCCGCTGAGTTTCTCTCCTAACAGCTTCTCCATCAGCTGCAGCTCTTTCCTGATTTCTCTGTAGCTGCCGACAAAATTGGTGCCATTGTCCGAAAAGAGACACTCAGGTTTTCCTCTCCGCGCGAAGAACCTCCTCAACGCCAATAAGCAGCTGTCGGCGTCGAGAGCATGTACCATTTCCAGGTGCACCGCCCTTGTCGCCATGCACGTCGCCAGGAACCCGTAGCGCTTCTGTGTGCGCCTGAGGTACCGCACGTAGAATGGGCCAAAGAAGTCGATCCCCGCGCTACTGAACGGACGCCGTCCGTCGAACCGCGCTGGCGGCAGGGGAGCCATTTGGGGGGCAGACGGCTCTGCCCGACGTCGCCGGCAGACGGGGCACTCTCTCAGCTGCGTTTTGACGGCCTCCCGACCTCTTGGAATCCAGAAGCACTCCCGCACTGCGCTGAGAGTGTGCTCAGGTCCGGCATGAGCGACCTCCGCGTGTTTCCCCGCGATGATCAGCCGCGTGATGCCCGACTGGCGCGGCAGCACCACCGGGTGTCGCGCGTCTCGTGAGAGAGGGGCGTTCGTGAGCCGCCCGCCCACGCGCATGACTCCATCACCATCGATGACCGGCGTGAGCGGACGAAGGCTGCTCGACGGCGGCAGTGGCTCTCCCTTTTCGAGCTTGCGCAGCTCTACTGGGTACTCACGCTTCTGCGCCATGAGCAGGATACGCTTCTCAGCGCCCAGGATCTCATCCTGGCTCAGCTGTCCCTTCCTGCGATCGTCATTGACTGGAATGGCCGCGTTCCGCGCAAACCGTAGCATCCAGGCCACCACTCGCTTGTATCGGAGCCACGAGCTGAATCTGCCGGGGTCCGGAGTCATCGGTTCTTCTTTGCCGACTGTGTTTGCGCGGCGTTCACTGATCTCTTCTTCCCCGGTGGTCGGTGGGGCCACCAGCGCCGGCTGAGGCCAGTCCTCTGGCTCCTTTTGCAGGAAGTCCGGTCCGCACAGCCATTTGCAGTCCGTGGTCAGGGCGCTGGCCGCCATCCCCCTGGTGCAGGCATCTGCTGGGTTAAGCACTCCGGGGACGTGACGCCACGCGGCGCCGGTCGTGAGTTCGTGAATTTCAGCCACTCTGTTGGCCACGAATGCCTTGAAGCGGTGGGACTCGCTGCTCACGTAGCTGAGGACCACGGCGCTGTCGGTCCAGAATGTTGTACTGGTCACCGGCCGGGTTAGCTCTTGCATTATTGCATGCGCCATCCTGGCGCCGAGCAGGGCTGCCTGGAGCTCCAGTCTGACGATAGAGATGCGCTTCAGGGGCGCCACCCTCGTCTTCGCCATGACGAAGCGACACGCGTGGCGGCCGTGTTCGTCAGTCGTCCGCAGGTAGGCGACCGCTCCGAAGGCATCCTCCGAAGCATCGCAGAAGACATGGAGCTGGGTGGCTTCGATCTTTCCCGAGGGCACCAGGCAGCGCTGTATGCTCACCTCACCGAGCTGCTCTTTCTCGCTGACCCACTGCAGCCACACCGACCGCTCCGGCTCTGGCAGTGGCTCATCCCAGCCAAGCTGTTTCGGCCACAGGCTCTGCATCAGCGTCTTGGCTCTCACAGTGAAGGGCGCTGCAATTCCCAGTGGATCAAACACAGCTGCGGCCTGACTAAGCAGACCTCGCTTCGTCATCGGCGTGGTTATGTCCCTCAGCCGGAACCCGAGGACATCCTTCTGCTCCTCCCACGCCACTCCGAGTGCCTTTTCCATGGCTCCTGCCGGCTCGGGACAAGCCACAGTTCCTGGCTCACCTCGCTCGTCTTCCGCCGTCCCGACCAACACCGCACTGTCGCTGCTCCGCCACTGCGTGATCTCGAACCCACCCTTGGCCAGGGCGTGAGTCACCGCCTCTTTCAGGCGCAAGGCCGTTGTGCTGTCATCCGCCGAGCACAGCAGGTCATCCATGTAGAATGACCGGCGAGCGTCACCGTTTTGCGCCAGGTCCAGCATGTCTTCCGGCCAGTTCTCCTCCAGGCACTTCCCGAGTACGTAGTTCGCTATCGCTGGCGAGGATCGTGCGCCGAAGATAGCGACGCACATCTGGTATACATCCGGGGGTCTTGACACGTCCAGGTCGCGCCAGAGGAAGCTCATAGCCGGCTGGTCTACCTCTGCCATCCGTATCTGGTGGTACATCTGTCTAATGTCCCCTGACACCGCCACGGCTCTCTCCCGGAATCGCAGTAGCACCCCTGGCAGGCTCTGGAGGAGGTCAGGCCCTGACAGAAGCTGGTTGTTCAGGGACGTTCCTCGGTAGCTGGCCGCCGCGTCGAAGACAACACGCACCTTCCTTGGTTTATTTGGGTTTAGGACCGCGTGGTGTGGGAGGAACCAACGTCTTCTGTCAGCGTCTTTTGCCATTTCCTCCGTCAGCTTCCTTGCGTGGCCGTCCTCCAGATACTGGGCTATCGTCTTCCGGTATGCCTCTGCCACTTCCGGCTGGCGCTCCAGTTTCCGCTCCAGTGCTTGGAGCCTGGGAATGACGGCAGACTTGTTGTTCGGCAGGACGATGTCTTCCGCTCGCCAGAGCTGGTGCACTTCGTATCGGCCGTCAATCTTCCGCGTGGAGGCTTCCAGTATGCTGATGGCTCTGTCATCTTCCCTGGATCTTGTGGAGTCCCGCTCGAACCTCGTCCCGAAGGATTCGGTCGTCCACCACTCCTTCACTGCCTCCACCAGAGGTTCTTCATCCTGTCGCTGAGGTCGGACATAGCAGACTTGCCGCATGCTGCTGGGCACAATGGTTGAGATTGACCCGGTCAGGGCCCAGCCGAGGTCAGTGCGGATAGCCACTGGCTGCCCAGGGCGTCCCGAGCGAACCTCCCGCTGCAGGACGGCCTCGAGCACGTTAGCTCCGAGCAGCAGCGTCACGCATCCCCCATCGTACTGCGACAGGCTGAGTCCCGACAGGTGCTGGTAGCGCTTCAGGTCTTCTTCCGCCACTCGTGGGGCCGTGACGTTGATCTCGGGCACTGCCCATGCCTCCGCAACCACAATGCGCTTGGCTGCGTCGTCTGCAGGACTAACCTTGAGCGATACACGCTCAGACGTCCGATGCGGGCCGGCCCCCTCGACGTTCTGCAGACGCAGATCCCTGCGATCTCCGGCGATCCCCAGCTCCTGCAGAATATCCGCACAAACCAGTGAAGTTTGAGCCCCCGGATCCAGCAGCGCGGTGACGATCTTCGCGCCCCTCGGACCATGCACCCGGACCGCGACAATTTGAAGCAGGACATCGGCCTTTGACCTGAGTGCCGTTCCAACGACCGGTGCTTCTTCTTGAGGGTTCGTCTCTCCGTGAGGGCCGTCTTCACCCGCTGCGGGGCTCGTGTCGGGAGCCGGTTGTCGGACTGCTCCATGTAGTAGCTGATGGTGGGACCTCCTGCAGCCTTCTCGCGGACAGGTGCGTGCGCTGCGGCATCGGCTCTTCATGTGGCCTGGGGCGAGGCATCCGAAGCAGAGCCGCTTGTCCACTGCCAGTCGCATTCTGCCCTGAATCGGTCTGGCCTGGAATACTGGGCAGGCATCCACACGATGCTCAGCACCGCAGTCCGCACATGACAAGCGCGATGCCGTTGTTGGTGCTGAAGCTGCGGTGGCTAGGGCTGTCCGTCTCACAGCACCTCTCTGTCGTTGAACCTCTGGTCTCTCGCGGTGCGGTCGCGTGGGCTGGGCGTGGTTGAGGATGGCGACCTGCTCTCCGAGCCATTCGTCCAGGCGCGCGAGGGTTGGCCGTTCAGGTCGCATGCGGTATGTTCTCTTCGCCCAGGACACAGCCAGTTCCGGCGGAAGCCGTTCCACCACTCGCCTCAAGTTTTCGCTGCCACCCAGGTCGTGAGTGTAGCCCAGGTTTTCCAGCACCGTAACAGCGTTGTGTAGGAGTAGCTGGAACTTCTCCACTTCCCCGGGTTCTGAGATGCGTGGGCTGGGTGCATCAAACAGTGCAACCAAATGCGCCCGAACGATATCCTCCTCCCTGCCGAACCGCGCCTGCAGCGTCTCCAGCGCCTTGCCGTAGAGCGCTCCGTTATAGAGCATGCCGGAGACAGCCTGGGCAGCGGGACCGGCCAGCGATGACTGCAGCAAGGTGATGCGCTCGGTGTTGGTGAGGCTCGGCTGGTCGTGGACTAGTGCCTTAAACAAGCCGATCCACCGCGGCCACTCCTCGGGTCTTCCACGGTAAGTAGGCAGCGTGATCCTCGGGATTGACTTAACAAAAGCCGACGGTCTTCCCACGCCGCCCGATGGGTGCTGAGCCAGCTGATGGATCCAGGCGGCAGGATCATAGGCGTGCTGAGGTCCGGGTTCAGGGTCAAGGATTTGACACGATCCTCCACTCCCTCGCTCGAATCCGGCGGAAGCTATTCCAACATCGTCATATGGCTTCTCTTTGGAGTGGGACGTGCCACTCTGAGTCAGGGCTGCGTCCATCGAGGGCGTGGCCGCGGGGCCCCGCGCCGCGATCCGTGCAGCAGGCGCAGCGCCATCGAGTTCGTCATTTCCTCGCAGAGAGATGGCGGCTCCGGACAGGGGGTTGGCGCCGAGGAGCGGGAGCGCTCGAGTGCCGTCCGCGCCATACCCTTCAGACTGCCCTGCGCGACCAGCTGACCAACCGACTCTTCCGCTGTTGACCACAGCTACCTCTTGCGAATCGTCGAAGTCGGCGCGGCGCTCCCACGCGAGGTCATCTTCCGCTGCCCTTGTCAGCCGCTCTCGAAGCGCAGCCACTTCCACCTCTTGCTCCAGTAGTTCTCTCTCCTTCTGACTCTCCCGTTCACGCTTCTTACGTCTTGCCTCTCTTTCTCTTCGAAGACGCGCTTCCTCTTCTTCGTGCTCTTGCTCCTCACGCAGCCTTTCCGACTCTTCACGCGCTCTCTGCTGGCTCAGGCGTAGGTTGGCGATCTCCAGCTCTTGGGCAGCAGCTCTTGAAGCATTCGAGGCGTTCGATCTTCTTGATCGGTTCGATGACGCTCGGCTGATCACCGACACCGCGCCTGTATTCCTTGCCACCTGCTCCTGCTCCGCGATGCATGCCGAAATCCCTTCCATCATGGCGACCGCCGACATTTCCTTTGCCTTCATGCTGCTGGGGGGCGGCAGTCCTTCCACTTCGCACTGCTCCGTGCACTCGCGGTCTAGGGCCTCCAGAGATCTCAGCTGACCCGAGATCCTTCTGTGGAGGTCCTTCAGAGTCTCAATTCCAAGACCTTCTTCAAGGGCCGCTGCAGCTTTCTTGACGAGCTGCGTCAGCTGACTCAGCTTCCCAGCACGCTTCCTTTTGAGGGTTGACGCAGTCTCCTCCTTTGCTGCATCTTCTCCTTCTTCTGCCGTATCTACGGCCGGATCGACCACGTCGACCTCAGACGCACTCATTGTGAGCAGTCACTTGTCACTGCCGCTTATCACTGTATGCCGGAGCATCCGGCCCGGAGGACCAGACTTAAGTGTGGCGGCGGTTCTCGGGTTCCTCTGGTTTGGACTGTGCACGCTCCGCCCACACTCAAGGAGTTTGTTCAGGGCTGATGAAGCACAGGTAGATAGGAAGGTGAGGGTGGCAATTCTTACCTCCGGTGGGAGGCAGTGCTAATGCAAGGCTAACGACCGATGGGTCGCCCGGCATTGAGTGGGAAGGAACAGGGTGGCAGTTCCTACCTCCGAGGGAGGCGGTGCTACTGCAAGGGTAACGACCGATGGGTCGCCTGGAGACGAGCGGGAAGGAATAGGGTGGCAGTTCCTACCTCCGAGGGAGGCGGTGCTACTGCAAGGCTAACGACCGATGGGTCGCCTGGAAAAAAAAAAGAAGTTAAAGTGACAGAGGCGGAGAGGCAGGAATAGGAGGCTTCACCAGCACCAACGACTTCAGCTGCACGCCGCCGACGGACATCCCTTTCCAGACAGCATCCGGTTCGTGCTAAGTCCCTGTATTCACTCACACCTTAGCACTGAACACAGCGGAGCCGTCCGTCCTCGGCGACTGTACAACCGCAAGTGCCCCCGGCCGGCCGCCGCGCCTGACGGCCGGCCGGGGCGCTGACAAGACCGACCGCCGCCGGCAATCCGCCGGCGGTCCCGCGACAACACATTCCTAAGCAAACGGATACCCGATCCCACGCTCACGCGAGTTCGGTCGCCGGGACGCCGAATTCCTCACGCGCAGTTACAAAAGGCACCGTTTCCAGGAGCTGACCCTCCGACCAAAATAGCCCCTGTGCCGGAAGACATACAAGGCACAGATGGCCGGCGCCCATTCGCCAACGACGCACACCGCAAATTCAATTACACAGACAAAAGAGTCAGCTACGCTCAGGTGACGGCGACCTCCCGCGAGAGCGTCGCGGCGCGCGGCAGCCCGCCCCGCCCGTCCATCCATCACAACTGACACCTCATCGAGCCTGGAATGTGCCCCTTCCGCCAGGGTTGCGGCAGGGAAGGGGCGTTTAGCGTGACCCTAATGACGGTGACCCCCCGCGAGAGCGTCGCCGCACACGGCAGCCCGCCCCGCCCGTCCATCCGTCAGAACTGACACCTGCGGGCGAGACTCCACTCACCGCGGCAGGGAAAGAGACGATTCGCGGTAACAAGTGGACTTTTCACAGGATGCCTGTCAGCTGGTTGACAGAATTTGAGTGGCATGGCTATCGAAATGACTTCGCAAGCCGCATGCTGGAACGGAGAAGTGAAGGGTTCCATGGCTTATACGTTCAGTACCAGTGATGATCAAAACTTGGAAGGTGCCATTTCTTATTGAGACAATGATTTATTTGGGATCACGGGAGCAATATTGCTCAAGCTATTGTTCCTTTTTCTTCTTATGAACCATTTTTATGAATACCTAATCCAGATATATGTAGACGTAAAGCTATCGTTTATCAAACGCCAGTAACACCTGACGAAACTCCCTCGCTCTCCAGTACACATCGTGCGATTGTAGCCGTTATGACATGGCCGTTATGACATGGCCGTTATGACATGGCCGATATGACATGGCCGTTATAGGGAACAACAGCGACCTTCTTAAGACCGGGCTCTGTCATTTTCCCCCGCCCAGCTGACGGGACCACGGCACAATTGTGTGTTTGCTGGGTCGCACTGTTTGTCTTTAGGTCGGCCGGTCGATGGTTTTGGTTTGACTTCTCCTGCCGGGGGCATCAGACTTTAGCGCCGCCGCCGCGGCACTAATGCCTGTTTACGAACGGCGCTGCTGACGTCTTCCGCGTAATTACGTCTGGCATCGTGCGTCCGGCGTCCGGCCAGCGCCATAGCCGGCGGCGCGGACTGCCGAGGCCTCTCGAACGGGCCAAACACTCGGCGGCCAACCGCGGTCGAGCCGCCGCGCTGACAGGGAGTCGAACAATACAAATAGTCGGACCACTTCCACTGCAACCGGACCGGGCAGACAGGGAGAGGTGCGCTCCGGACAGCGATGAGCCGCGCGGACAGGGAGACACACCGACCGCGACCGGAGCTGCTGGCAGGCGCAGACAGAAATTTGGAACACTTCTTCTGCCAGCAGGACAAGGATCCTCCCATCAATCCGTCATCTGTTTAGTGAAACAGCGAATGAGACACTTCTCATAGATTATATTGCAGCTGTTTCCTACGCCTCGGTTGGCGGATGAGTGCTGTGGTGTTGTCATCGGTAAGTCGTAACCATTTCTTGAAATTCCTGAAAAAAAAAATATTTCAGATGCCCTTTCCGCTAAGGGTGGCAGTATTCAACTCACTAGATTTCTAGCGCAGGCATAACATGCGTGCTGATGTTTTTATGAATGCTCTCATATACCGAGTTATTACAGGAAGGTGTGGAAAACAGATCCATTGATGGAATAGGTGGCGTTTGATAAGATGATGATCAGTCTTCACTTACCTATTTTCATGTAGTTTCTGAACTGACTGGTGATGTGTTCGACTGTATTATTTTGTTTTGTTTCGTTGACTGCTTGACTTGGTCCTTTCAGATTACTGAGACCATTTCGCGGCGGTGTGATGTAAAAAGAGGGTTGGGGATGCATGAGGGGAAGAGGGGGTAGGAGGCAAGTCGGCCACCGTCTGGTACGGGGACCCGCAGTTGCTACTGTACAGCGACCCTGAGTAAACTGTCCCAGCACCCTCACAGGGAACAACAATAAGCTGTCAGAAGGCAAGTATTTACAGAAGACTTCAGCTATTCTTGTACAGGGACCGGCAGTCGACATAAATGTTATCGGTTGTTACTGGGCAGGACAGACGGCTAGAGTTGGGGCTGGTGTACAGTAGCAACTGCAGGTCCCCGTACGTGGCACTTGAACAGCCCATACCTTTGGAACAGAGTGTCTGAGGGAGACAGACCACCCAGCCGCTCAAACAGGCCCCCTGCGCGGTGGGGCACGCTCTTTCGGAGCTATCCTCCCCGCCTGTCTGTAAGTAAAGTGACTGTAAGTCCGGAACATTGGCTGTGTGACCAGCGCTGATCTGATACTTGATTATTATAGAAACTATTATGACGGACCCTTTTGTAGCCTATGATATTCCTATCAATTGTAATTTACATGCTGTCTTACATGAAAAGGTTGAACCAAAGTTGATCTGTCAAGTATTTTTTTCTTAGCATCAATGTTCTGACAAGCGCGCTCCACCCAATACCGCTTTCAGCACATGTCACGCTCACGACTCGTCTTAATCCGCCAGCGGATGCATCATTCATTCAGCGAGTTGTGCATCCTCGCTCAATCGTAAAGTCCCGGTTCGTTGTTCATGGCATCAATGGAGTGAGTCTGCCCATGTGTCGGCATCACAACACTGGTTGCATCTTTATTAATCAAACAATGTAAGTAGGCGAAACGTGCTTTACAAAAGACGGAAAGCCACCCACCACGACTTCCGCACGTATACCATCCGACTTTTTGTCCCCAATTTTGTGTTCATGTTTAATGTCATCAACTAACTCATTTGTCCCTGAACTAATGAACAATCTCATCCACGTTATGAAGCTTTCGCCTATCAACAGCTATAGCTACCTGCATAAACAAAAACAGCTCGGGGTTTCCAATAAATCGATTCGATTGTACCTAATTAGCCTTACCCACAGGTTATTTTTAATTTATTTTTTTTTCAGTAATTTTTTATCAGTTACAGTGCGCACCGTCGCCATTGCACACCGCACATCGTCATCGCCATTGTGGTGGAAGACTTAGAGATAGCGTCAGGCCTATGTGGGCGAACAGGAACTAGAAATGTTATATAACAACCATTTGCCGTACCTGCTATGTGATTCGTGGCAATTCCTCCAGTGCAGCGTCTAGTTTCGTATACCGGGTCCGGGTTTTATCGAATGGGGGCAGAAATCATCGGGCTATATTTCGATCCACAGCATAAGTCCAGCGCTGGCTCATGCCGCCTTCACATATTGCTCCGATTTGTTTGATCGGTAGCCTGCTGACAGCCTGTCGCCGTGGTCGGAACACTCTCACCAGACGACCGCGGCAGCGGCGGCGGCTGTACCGTCGACGGCCGCGCCTCGCACGCCGGCGCGTCAATATATCGGGGGCAGCAGAGCGGTCCGGCGATCCCGGCCGACGAGCAGCACAAACACACCGCACTCAGGCAAATCTGGACGGCGCCGCGGCGGTCCGCCAGAGACCGGGACGCTGCTCCGCTGATGGCTGGTCAACAGAGCCCCGCCGACACGACGTACCGGGGCCGACGGGGGACGTGGCCTCGGTCGGTACCGACAGGGGGAGTGGGAGACACTTTGGTACCGACAGGGGGAGTGGGGGACACTTCGGTACCGACAGGGGAGTGGGGGACCCTTCGGCACCGACAGGGGGAGTGGGGGCCCTTCGGTACCGACAGGGGGTGTGGGGGACCCCCTTCGGTACCGACAGGGGGAGTGGGGGGCACTTCGGTACCGACAGGGGGAGTGGGGCCCCTTCGGTACCGACAGGGTACACAATGGGTGAGGGGTTCTGTTCTGCCGCTACGAGGCAGGCATCGTCCACTCCGAAGCTCAACAGTATTCGGTGAGGGTAGCAGGTGTGAAAGGTCAAGTCGTGTCAGTCTAATGCATGGGCGCACGGACTCCTGGTCCGGCACCCCGGCAGTTCACCAAGTGTGGAAAGTCGAGCCACGGAGGTAAAATGGAGCTGCTCCCGAGTGTCGACGGCTGTTGTGAGAGCGTTCAAGCCGTGACAGACCGCCAACGGTCGACGGAGCACACTGTCACATCCGAGTCTCAACAACAAAGAATACTGAGTGGCTTTTACGCCGCTGGCCGGCCTTTTGTTGAACTGCCGAGCTGGAGTGACGTGCGGGGTCTCGGCGCACCCTCTCGGCGAATATGGATCCACTGGATGCATCAAATATCTGGCCTCCCTTTTATAGTGATTCTTTCGTGC